TGGAAAGTCATGACAATTGGGGTTTGCCCTAATTGTAACACTATATAAAGATATTATTCTTGACAAAATCGGCCACTAGAGATAGAAAAAAAGGGCTAGCTGATTTCATGAAGTGTAGAATTCTCTCTAAGTTATTCCAAGTGTTTACGGTGTTGTGTGAACCATTTGAGGTGTCACACTTGGGGCACTAGGCACTCAAGCTTCATGAAGACAAGCACTAACAAAAGGTATGTTATTCTATCTTGTTATATTGATAGTTTAGTATGCTAGAATACAACAATACCTTGGAAAGTTTATATTTGCATGTATAATAGAGAAAACATAGATCCAAGGTATTTAGGGTTGCATGTACACTTAGGAGTGTTAGAATGCTCATAACCCATCAGTAAGACACTCAACTTCGTGATACGCTTATACCTTGTAAGACACTCTACTTCGTGATACACTTATACTTGAGGATGCCTCCACTTCGTGATCCACTTATACTTGAGAACGCTTCTACTTCGTGATACGCTTATACCTTGTAAGACACTCTACTTCGTGATACACTTATACTTGAGAATGCCTCCACTTCGTGATCCACTTATACTTGAGAACGCTTCCACTTCGTGATACGCTTATACCTAATGACACTTCCACATAGTTAGATGTATGCCTATGCTTGTATAGATGCATATAAATAATGTTTGAAGGACTTAGGAAGGCTTGTTTGCCCTATTTCCTTTTCTTCGTTGAGATGTGGTCTGGTGGGATCGGATGTCCGTACGAAGGTCGTTTGATCATTAGTAATATATTATGTATACAGGTATAGACATATAGGTTTACACTAGTCAGTCCAGTTGAGAGTCTCTATCGCTTGTCCAGTATTTTACACTAAATCTCACTATACGAGATACATCCTCAGTACACGGCCTACTCCGTTGTCGAGTTGGTAACCAGAGTCTCTTGTAAGGAGAGCGGACATTGTTTGTATAGATCTATACGGGATTGACACCCCCACACCCTGACTGCTAGCTACAGTCCATGGCCTACCAAGCCAAGGGGTGACAAATGTCATGTTTATACCGACGCTTGCAGGGCGTCAAGATTCTCTATTGTCGATCAGTATGGTTATGAGTATCTCGGGCTCACCTTATAATTCATGGCTTTAAGGTAACGGGTTTTATACACAGTATCTCACCGTATACACTATGTTCACTGTATTGGACCTTACTAGCTGTATCTTTCATTTGATATTGTCTAGGGTATGTCTCTATTTTAGACCTTGCTAGATGTATCTTTCATTTGATACTGTCTGGGGTCGGTATTCTCTGTTTTAGACGTTGCTAGTTATATCTTTCATTTGATACTGTCTGGGGTTGTATTCTCTATTTTAGACCTCACTAGCTGTATCTTTCATTAGATACTGTCTGGGGTCTGTGTCTCCTTTTGTTAGACTGAGCCAGGCATACCGTTCAGTCGATACCCTCGTGGAGTCTATGATTCTTTTACCTTAGTCAGCAGTCCTCACTGCTGAGGCATATGTTATTTTCCATGATATTCTCCGACTTTCTTAAAAAGCAAATCCTGTATTTTGATAATGAAAGTATTTAAGGGGAAACGACTTTTTACCACATAACTCTGACCAATCTTGGTAGAAGATTGCTTTTTACTCAGAAAATATAGGATTTTCTGGAAAGGACTCTATTTCACCGTATACTTAAAAACTACTACTCATATAAAGTTATTTGTATAAAATGTCACTAAATACTTTTGAACTCAGCAGTATTTGTAAAAATGCTGATACTCGCTTTTCAAATAACTTGTATTCTCAGGTCAGCATTGGACAGATACATCCCCAGAGCTTTTGACGAAGACAGTTTAGTACCAAGCTGCACCTATATTATTACTTGTATTATTTTGATGTATTGTAATGTAAACCATGTAAAACTATTACTATTAATGCAATGGTTGTTGTACTTTGATTACTATAATGCATGTGTTGTGATACTTGACATGACGTCATCCATCCCAGAACGTTTCCGTCGTTCCAGTTTTGGGGTGTGATAAACACCCCTTATAGACCAGCTTCGTGAATGAGACCTACTAACGGTAAGACTGACTTTTACTTATACACATATATTAGACTTTTAATGTTATATATAGTATAGGGTGTATTTTACATTTTTAAAATAGTAGGTGGTATAATTTAGTAAATTACACTTTTAATTTAACTAAATGTGAACCTAAACTTTATAGATTTATTAAATCTCCTTTAATTATACACCTTAATTAATTAACAAAACCATAAGGGTGTGATTTGAACTTTTCAAAACAATACTAGGGTTTTAGAATTTAACATTTCTAAATTAAACTTTTAATCAACTTTTAAATTCCAAAACTTGAGGGCAAGTTTTGAAACATTTCAAAACATTAGGGTTTAGAATTTAAATATTTCAAAATTAAACTTTCTAATCAAAAATTTAAATTCCAAAACTTGAGGGCAAGTTTTGAAACCTTTCAAAACTATTTGATCAAAATACAAATAAGGCAATTAAACAATTAATGGGTGATTATCTAATTATCACCAAATTTAATTTCATGCAAGATAATGATCAAATAATCCAAATAATTTAACATTTATCAAATAAGGTAACAATTATCTAATTAGATGACCAAAATCTTTTATTTTGACAAAGATAATCATGAGGAATCAATAAAATTCGTATTTTAGTAACTTTAAACAATTATGGCAATTATCCTAATTAAAAAAATGCAAGAATCCCGAAATTGCCTCTTTCTGACGCTCGAACTCGTCGAGTTCCTCTATGGACTCGTCGAGTTGGAGAAACTCGCCGAGTCCACATTGGAACTCGCTGAGTTCATCAGGCAGGGAGCCAAAAAAAGATTTTGAAGCTTGAACAAATAACCAAGGTATCAATACAATAGAAACCAATCAAGTATCTGATACCACTGATGAGTTTTAGCCATAAGAACATCCTATGTGCTCATGCAAACCCTAATGCTTGGATCTAGGTTTCTCTATTGTACGTGCAATTCATCCAAGACTTTAAACCCTAGTTCTAGCATACAATTAATCATATTAACATGTGAAAGGGTTTTAGATCTTACCTTGATTGTCATGTAGCAATAACAATCACAAATCCTCCTTGTAATGACTTTAGAAAGCTTAGAGTCACAAATATCACTCCTCTAATGGTTACGAACACCAAGAGCAAGAGGATGAAGAATAAGAAGATAGGAGGTTGCCCAAAACGTGTGGAAACCCTAAGGAACAAGTTCACCACGTTTTTTAGTCTCAAGGGTCCTTTAAATAGTGAGACTATTAGGGTTATCTAATAAGGAAAGCCTAATTTGGATGCTTAGGCCCTAAGCAACCCATGGACTCCCTCCTTAGAGGCCTAGAACGATTTCTAATGGGTTTCCCCATAGAACTCATCCACCCCTCTAATATAGAGTCCATTAGCCCAATATTCAACTATCACACAATTGACAGTTCTAGTCCCTTAAGTTTAATTAATGTCTTTTAGCCACAAACTTAATTCTTATCAGTTCTTGACTAATATTAATTAAACAATATGATTTCTCCTTTAATATATTATTCTCATAATATATTAATAAATCGTAATTAATCCTTTCTCTCCATAATTCATCCTATCAAGTTGCTTTGGTGAAGGCAACCCAAAAGGACCATGCACCATCGGGTCAAGTACATACCAAAATAGTTATGGACTTAGACACTAATCCAACAAAACCAAGCCAACAAGATCCATTGTACATTTCCTTTCAATCTTTTGTTTACTGTCATGTTCATCTCCATTAAATTCTTAATGAGAAATTCTACATGTCTAAATATGTCAATAGTGGATCCCTGTGTTGAATACAAAATAATACCTATAAATGATAGATTATTTACATAGTTTCTATGAAGATTTGGGATATGTTACCCTTGATGAAATTTCATAGTTCATAATGTCAACTACATAATGGCCCATTAAAAAGTTGGACAAATATCCATCAATTCCCAAGAATTAACTAAAACCCAAATCACATGGAAGATAGTTTTCATAATGACATCCTCAACATATAAAACTGAACATATTTACTTCCTTGATACTTCAAGTCAACAATTTTATATACTTGCATATCAGCTTCCTGACCATCAAATAAAACCTAAAGACATTTTCTCCCCATAAGAAAAAAAACCAAATGAATGCACTCTTCTAAAATTGAACTAAATTTGAATAAAAGATGTAATTAAAATCCCCAAGTAAGTAAATGTATTGTATGTATTATCTAAAAAAAGAATAACTACTTAATTACAATCATGTTAAAACAATTTTACGTGGTCTACATTTGTAATGAGCCATTTAGGTTCTTAACTGTTTGATTTTATATTTTTAAATTTTTTGTATTTCGAAAATCTTTTTCTTGATACTTCAAATTGTAGCTTTTATAGTGGACTATGAAAAGGGTTCACTATATGATGAAGATTGAAAATTTTTTCAACATGAAAGAGGCCCAATTATCCTGTGATGTAAATACTTGATCAGTGGAGTGCATTTCAAAAGGGAACGCACTTGGAAGTGTTGGATATAATTATATGGACTGAATATTTGTAGTTTAAAGAATTTATTTTTGTCAAAAGCAAATGCAATCCTTGATTCCTCGCGTGTGTTGGATGCTCTTACTATTGATGCAAGAGAAATCACTGCCATGGCACATGATTATGGATGCTTAAATTTCATTCTCTTATAAATTTGTGATTTTTTCACATTTTTTTTCTTGATTTCAGTTTATGAGTACAGGTTAGTGAACGACGATTGTATATTCGATCAGAGCGTCGCCAATAGTTGTGGCGTTTGTGTAATACTTGGTATATAACCTCTTTTACACTTGAGATTTGGATTTATAATTTTCAATTTTAGCAAGTTTAATTGAAAAATAGTGCTAAAGATTGATGTTTTTGTCAAATATCTTTAAAGATCTAACATTATATCATGATTTATTTTGTGAAGGTTCCAGAGAGTGACAAACTGTTTATAGCTTCAAATGAAGAAGATGAAGTGAAATTACAGAAACAACGAGATGTGTCAAAGTTTTTCCACATTGAACCACAAGGGAAACTTCCATCTTTTGTTACCGGTAAAGAAGGGAGATGGGAAAGTTAGTTTTTTAAGAAGCGAATATTAATTTCAAGTCAAGTGCTAAGGAAGAAAGGAGAATGATTTAAAATCTAGACCGGTGCTCGTCAATCGTCAATAAGGATGACCATGAGGTGTTTGATGAAATTCCAACCCAAAAAAAATTCTTTCTTTCCGTTTTATTAAAGAAAAAACATCAATATAAGTGTTTATTTATCCCCCACACTAAGCAAAATTGATCAATAGAAGGGAAATTTTTAGTGTCCAACTGATTAATATGCCCATATATTTGATGCAAAATGACCATTGGCCGCTTTAGCTCATAATCTATGTTGCCTTCCACAAATGTCATGAATCATTAAATATCATGGTGATTCTCCTAAACTACACCGACATACAAAGGGGCTTCCCTAATTTCATCTTGACTTATTGGCAGTGTCTTAGTTGTGGCACTATTTACTATGATAGCTCCAGACAACCACAATATTAGTAAGTTATATAATCAACATTCCTTTATAAAACATGTCTATATTGAATTGACTTCTAACTCTTGGATCCCATATAATCCATTGCCCTCTAAACTTTCGTCTAACTGATTTGTTATAGAGGGAATTAAGCTAATAATTTTAATGTCAGATAACGATGTGGAGTTTTGAGCAAATGCAGTGTTGGACATAACGTCAAAATTCTATTTGATTTTAAAAGAAAAGTACGGGATCTTGAGAATCAACGTCTACCATCAATTTTCATGGTTCCTAAAATGGAGATGGGGTTATTAGCATGGATGAATTGGCCACACTTCTTGTTGTTCAACGAGAGAAAAATTTCTTATTATACGTTTTACTTTCATTTGTAAATTATACTTTTGAATAAAATGATTTTAGAATTTTACGAATGAAAATTTGAATATAATGTTTTAATTACTTTGTTTATTGTAGGGAGTCACTTATGAATTTTTTCCCTATTTGTGGGGATATTTTTGAAATGTTTGATAAGTTTAATTCAATGATTCATGTCACTCTGTTTTTTATAAAGGCACTGGAGCAAGGATATGACTAAATGATTCTTGATGTATAAACATTCATCCTATAGGCAAGATTCTTTCCACTCGTGATTTTTTTTTTAATTTATAAAAAGTTTTATTTTGACAATTAATTTCAACATGAGTCTATTTGGTCGGATGATTCATGTCACTCTATTTTTGATAAAGGTATTAGAAACCAGGATATGACTAGAGGATTCTTGACGGATAAATAATCATCCTATGGGCAAGATTCTTTCCATTCGTGATTTTTTTAAATTTCTAAAAAGTTTTATTCTAATTTTTATGTAGTAACATGGAATATTGATTCGGACTCTTTCCTCAAGAAGCCATTATGGAAATTGTGAGTTAATAAGAAGTATCGACGAAATGGTAATCAATTTCCTAGAGTCCTTTAAAAGTTGATACCCTTTAATTTGATATACAGATTTTGGTGTTACAATCATTTTTTTTGTAAGTTTTTTCTTACCTGCTGGTCATTGTTTTATCACGGCCAAATTACTTTGTTACCCTTTAGTACTACATGGTTGATACAAAAACAAATACAAGAGTTTGATTACATTGTTTATCGTAAAAGATGAAAATTTCCATTTTTCTATGATAGTAGGAAAACATTTACATCTTTTAGTAATTTTTGTGTTTCTATCACAGTATAAAAAGGGAAAACTTTCAGTATTTATGTTTAACAGGCTTTTTAGATGTAAAACATATTAATCTCGAGTGATTTGTGCTTCTGTTAAAGTATAGAAAGTGTAAAATTTTCTATACTAATAAAAGAGTAGTTTTTTTGCCATGTGTCACCATATTAGACCTTTTAATTAATGTGTTACCACTTGTCAATCCATTATTTCTTCATTTTAAATTTATTAGACCTCCTCATTAATGTGATACTATTTGTCAATATATTTATTTTCTATTTTAAATTTTAAGTTTTAAATTATTGTTTCATTAATTCACAAATAAAAAAATATCTAATATATTAAAAATTAATTTTACATATATATATTTGAATCAACGATTATAATTTCACATAACTAATAAAAATATCTTTTAATTAATAATTTATTAAAAATAATTGATTAATAATTTTAAGTTTTTATTATAAAAGTTTAGTTAATTTTATAACCATGATTCCCACGGATTATAAACTAGTACTAAATATTTAAGGGTAAAGGGCTTACAACTTCTTTAAAGTCGCTGTGATACAAAATGCTATTATAAGTATCCTTTTAATGCTTTCAGGTATTTACTTTTTTTTTTTTTTGTAATTATTTATCTTTGTTAAACCGTGGCATGAGATCCTTATATCATTTTTCTTTTATACCATACTAGCAAGGAAGGTTATTCACCAAAGAACCTTAAAACACATAAAGGTTGCGACAGTGTAAAGTTTATGTGGGCTGTTGATTGTATTCATGCGAGATATGTAGAAATGTATGTATTTGTTTCAGACGTGTCTTTGAAAGCTAGATTTGTATATAATCCTTTAAGGGCAAAAATATCAAGATCATATTCAAGTGTATATTTGGTTGTCGAAGATATATATAATGTGAAAATTATTCAAATGTCAGCAAAATTTTGTTTTCAAGATAGAATGGCAAAGATTTTTACAAGGATTCTCTGAGCAGATGAATTACTACTTTTATTGATGGGTTAATTTTTATATTTTTATATTTGGGTCTTAACTCTTAAAATGAATGATTTTTGATAAGGTTTGCAGTTGTTTAACTTATATGTAGGTGATGAAAAGTGATTAAATACAAATAAGGTACCGCTCTCAATTACTCTTATTTTAATAGCGTAAATCTAGCTTATAAATTTAAAGCCACACAAAAAAGGAATGTTATTATGTATGCACCTTATTTTATGATTTAACTTTGATTTTGATGTTTAAAAAACTCAACATAACTATTTGTTTTGCTTTATGATTTCATGTTGGATGTTAATGTTCATGTAAGAAATTGCCAATGAGCTTATTGGTAGCAAGGTTGCCATTATCAAATGATCAATTATAAAAAAATTCAAAAAATACCAACAAAAAGCTTTCTATCGAAAAAATTTCTATGTGTTGAGTCAAATGTTAAAAACCCATTGGAAATCATAATGATATCATTTTTAATGTTCTTTTTGTAAAGTTCCCATTTTCCAAAACAAAAATTAACATAAATATTTCTTTCAAATATAAATAAAAATTTGTATCAATTTATTTGGTTAAAAACAGACATTTTAGAAATAATTTTTTATATTTTGCTAAAAATAGATTATTGTTTTAGGATTTAACTATAATAATTTGAAAAAAAAAAGATATATCAAGTTAAACATCTTAACCAATTTTGTTATATTTAGCTTTATTAAGTTATGCGACACACTCAAATATGGGATTTAATAGTCCCTTGTGATGTGTAATTTTTCTAATCATTCATGCGAGATTTTGATATTTGTATGTTTTTATTGTTCCAATCTTAAGAAATTTATAGTCTACTTTTTCTATATTTTTTTATTATATTAAGTTAGTATATAATAACAATAATAATAATAATAATAATAATAATAATAATAATATTATTATTATTATTATATCCCAAAAATATTTAAGGACCACACATTCCGATTGTAAACAATCTTGTACACATTTCAATAATTACGAATAGTCATAAAATAATTTATAATTATTATGAGATATTTGTAAATATTTGTATGTTTTTTATGGCTTCACCCACGTTTAACGCGGGTTATAATCTAATATATAATATATATGATATAATGTTATATATTCAATGGTGTGTTTCATTGTATTATATTTAGAAAGAGTGTGGGTCATCCCAAATTAGTGTGGGTCATCCCAAATTTAAAATCACACAAATTTTCAGTGGTACATAAGATATTCAGAAAGATTTTGTTTGGATCAACTCAAATTTAAAATCATACCAATTTCATATCATACATAAGATATTTAGAAAGACTTTGTATGCGTCAACCCAAATTTACAATCACACAAATTTTCCATCACACAATACTCTAATATATACCTTATCACTCGCACACTCAAGGTCCTTAAATAGTTCAATACTCTTGCTCTTTACCCTGTAAAACTAAAACTATTTTCTTACAAAGAATATAGAAAGAAATCAGGTAATTTCTTCTATGACGTATTTAATTACATATTGGCTATAGTTTATGACATTTCAATTTGTATGCACTATACAATTCCTATTTGTCTACCATATATATATATATATATATATATATATATATATATATATATATATATATATATATATATATATATATATATATATATATATATATCAATGTCATATTTTTCATATCTTTTATTGGAACTAGAGAAGTTATGTCAAGCCACTAAAAAGATGCTATAGAAAATGACACACTACACACACAAAATAACAATATTAAGTTTCTATGTCAACCAATTTAGTTCATAATAATTATTACTTTTTGGTTGGGTTAATCAGTTATTCGATTCAATTAACCGATATTTATGTTCGATATGGATTAGTTAGCTGAATAAGAAATTAAATTTATATTTTTAAAATTTATTTTCATAAAGTAATTATATTTAAACATATTGAAGAATGTTTTGATAAACAACTGGATAATTTCGAAGCTCACCAATATAATTAGTTTTGCCTTCATCCAATATATATATATATATATATATATATATATATATATATATATATATATATATATATATATATATATATATAATATATATATATATATATATATATATATATATATATATATAAAAGAAATTGAACTGTAGGTGATATAGAATCAATCTACAAAAAGAAACTTTAATTACTTTTAAGTATATATTGTACGATTGTATCTATTTTAATTAACACGGTTTCTTGGATCATATATACTCTGTATGTCTTCTAATCTTTCTTCTAACTGATTTGTTATAGAGGGAATTAAGCTAATAATTTTAATGTCAAATAACGATGTGGAGTTTGGAGCAAGAGGCAGCGTTGGACGTAACGTCAAAATTCTATTAGATTTTAAAACAAAAGGAGAGGATCTTAAGAAAAAACCTCTACCATCAATTTTCATGGTTCCTAAACTGTACCGAGATATCAGCCCAATATCTTTTACGCCTAGGTTGGTCTCTATTGGACCTCTTCACAGAAAAGATACAAATTTGCAAAAGTTTGAAGTTCAAAAATCGACTTATTTAAATAATTTATTGGCTCTGTGTGGTTCCAAACCAAAGGAAACGTTAGAAGATTGTGTGGGAAAGGTGAATACGAAAATTGACGATATCAAGAAATGCTATGAAGAGTCAGCGACCTACTACGGGGATGAGGAACTTGCTAGAATAATGGTAATAGATGGATGTTTTATCCTTTATTTTACTCATCTTCTTTCAGGAAAAGCCGGCAGATTTATGGGAAACCGGTCGACTATCCCATTAATATTTAATGATATTCTGCTGATAGAAAACCAAATCCCGTTTTTTGTTCTTAAAGACATCTTTGAATCTACTATTCCTCTTTTTAAACGAAATCCCTCTCTCGCTGACCATCTTGAAATACTTCTCAAAGGTTATAATCCTTTTCAAGAATATAATGTTACAGACAACATCAACCTATCTGAACCTCCTGATCATATCCTTGGCCTTCTGTACAACTGTTTAGTGCCTAGGCATCTCTCATTATCACCATCTTTTCTTCAAAATGGAGGCCCGTCCTTGGAACAAGAAAGACACTCGGCCATTGAACTGGATAGGGCAGGGGTGAACTTTAGGACTAACAAATATGTGAATTGGCCAATGGCTATGAAACTGGAATTACCAAGGTTTTCATGCTTCACATGGTTTTGTTGTAAGCCTACTCTGTTGATGCCAAAACTATATGTTCATGATTCCACTGAGTTGGTTTTAAGGAACCTCATACTATACGAGCAGTCGAGTCGAGTTCCAGAGTGCGTTACGTCATATATGTGGGCCATGGATATGCTAGTAGATACTCCAGAGGATGTTGCAAGGTTGGTAAAATCAGGGGTCCTAGTCAACCATTGTGGCGCCAACGAGAACGCTGCAAATATAATAAACAACATATGCCAAGATGTGTCCTTAGATGGTTTTTATTACCATCAACAGTGGGAAGATCTGGATACCTATTACAAGAGTTGCTGGCCCAATGCCGCTGCAGCGTTGAAGCGTAAATATTTCAACAGTCCATGGTCTATAATTGCTCTCTTTGCTGCAATCGTTTTGTTTGTTCTTACCCTTGTTCAGACCGTGTATACAATCAATCCCCCAAACCCATAATCGCGTTACATTCTTATTATGTTTTCATCTTTCAGTGTTCATGTTTTACTTCAGTATTTGTTGTTTTTTTTCTTTTTTTTGTCTCTGTTTGCAAGTCCCACATATTCAAGAAGTATAAGTTTAATATTTGTCGGTTTCAATAGATTGTTGTTATTTTAGCATCGAAGTAGCTAGGTTTGAAGTAGACTTTCACATTTCTTTTTGAGTTTATGTTTCTATATGTGAAAAAGTTCCTTTGGTATGGGAAATTGTTTATGATGAGTTCCGGTATCAATAACTAAAACTTAGTATTGCAAGTTGCAACCTTAATTATAACTCGAAAAATAGTCAATTATATCAGTGATTTTTTAAGACAATACTTTAATAAGGTAACGTTACAAAGAGTTTTGTTTTTAAAAAATAGTTACCCATTAGTGTACTTTAAAACATATTTACATATTAATTATATTATATTACTTATTAAGAAACAATTAGGTAACCAAATTAAAACTCGTTTGGCAGCTTTACCAAAAAAAAAACATATTACCCTACGACCAATAACACTAAATGGTTGCCAGTTGCCTAGCTCTGATGTGTATTGTGATGAGATTCACTATTTTCTTTGATACAAGAAGGCGTTACACATACTGTGAAGTGTGAAGAGACGAGACTGTAAAAGTTATTTGAAGAAGGACGATCCCAAGCAAGAAATTACTGTTATCATGTACACAAACTCATCAGTACCACAGCTTGGCTTCTGCATGCATACAGGGAGCTATAATCATCAACGACATGGAAACGTTAACAACGAGGGAGAAGATCGTTTGAGGCCTCAAAGCAATGATGGGATAAAAAGTGCGACTGGCATTGTGGACTATTGGTTTCTTTTCCCTTTTATCTTTAAAACTAATACAATACAGTAAATAAATTCTGAAGTACCATTTAGTTGGTAAATATCATAATTTTGTGATCATTTTAATTGTAAAAAGATAAACGATGATTTATGTGAACCAGCGATTAAGTTTGTCAAATTAAAATGAAAGTTATTGTTTGTAACTGTTCATGTTTTAATTTTATTATTATGTATAATGTTTAACTTGTTGTGAGGTTGTGAGATCATGAGTCATATGAATGCAATTTCAACATTTTAAAGGTTAGTTTTATTGAAATATTTTATTTAATCGTATAAATAAAAGTAAATGAAATTTTATTTACTCAAAAAATAAATAGAATTTTATGTACTTATAATGGAATGCGTGCAAATATTAAACGGGAAATTCTAAAATATTAAAATGTATACGATCATTAAAATAAAATGGATCCAGAGAGATTTCATAAACATTTTTATCCTCAAATTTTGCAAATAACTTGATGTCATGTTCTTTTAGCATTACAGATGAGAAATATTTTCTTTCTTATAAAAAATAAATTTACGCACCCAATTATTCAACAATATTAAAAATAAAAAAACATACCAATACCAATCTACAAGCCATGTGGTTTGCTAACTGGTTCAAGTTCTTCAACTATGACATTGTTCCTTTTTTAACCTGTATAAAGAAGTAAAGAACAGGGGAAATAGACTTAAGTTTGTGAAGTCTTATATAAACTCGATTAAACTTTTGTCTGTTATTCTTCTCTTCACCATTCACTTTAACTGTATTGCAATAAAAAAGGTTTGCGTACTTGTCAAAAAATGATGTCAAGGAAGACAAAACTATACAAAATACTACGAATAGAGAATCAAGTGGCAATAAACATATACAGAAACAAAATCATTTTATACTATTCACAAAAGGAATTGAATCACCTGGAAAAAGAACAATACAAATAGCATTCAAAGATTCGATCATTTTTTGGATGTTTCCAAAACTACCCTGCAAATTAGAAAATGAAACTTACAGGCAAATTCAAACACATTTTTACTAATATACCCACATATAAAGACAAAAACTCATTTGTGGTAGATAGCAAAGTACTATACAACAGGGGGATTTAGATGTTGCAACCAGAACCATCTTCGGCTCTGGTACCTCCATTACCTAATTTTGCTGAAAATACAGAAATCAACTTCAAGATTTCTAAATCAAAGGAAGTTTAATATGATTTTTTTAAATGAAACAACATGAATGAAATAATCACGTTCCTCACTAAAAAAATGCCTACCAATTCACATACTAGTTGAATTAAAACCATGAGATCTAAAAGTAAAATTTGAAAAGCTACCTTTAAGTCAAGTCTGGCAACATTTCATTTCTACCTCTGTAGTGGTGGTGATGGAGGCTGATAGAAACGGGGAGCAAATACTTGCATATGTTTAAAGCTTTGAATCAAGATGAAAATTTAACTCATGAGATAAATTAGAAAAAAATGAAATTCAAATTAGTTAATTCTATAAAAAATCAAGAAGACAGTTGCATTTACTTTATTACCTGTGTTTCCGGCAATCATCATTGATGCAGATAGGGAAAAAGAGAGACAATGGAAATATTTCATTTCATGAAGCAGTACGTTGTCGACTTTAATTAAAGCATAAGGAAGATACACGTAAAGGAGGTGGTTATAGTTCCGACAAGGGATTCTAGGGTTTGGGAAGAAGCCGGAGACGTCTAGGGTTTACGGTGATAATGAGGAAGAAGGTGATGGATGGTGATGAAGGTTGGTTGAAGGAAAAAGAAAATCAACGACTGATGGTGTTTAAAAAGACTAATGGTGTTTAAAAAGAGTTGAACCATGAGGCGATGGTGGATTTGATGGAGAAAAAGGGTTATGCGTGGCGATTTGAGTGGGTTATGGTGCAACATATGGAGACAGATGAGAGACAAGAGGCATTGAGAGTGAGCAGACGTGTGGTGGTTGACGGCGGAAAAGAAGTTGTGATGGTGATGGATAAAGAAAAATTGAAGATAACGGAGCCATATGAAGAGGTTAATGGGGATATTTGGTGAGTGAAGTTGTGAAGGAGAAACAGAAGAGGCATTTGACCGATTCAATTAGCTGAAATTTAGTAATTTAATTACAAAGAGCTCGACTTTTACGGATTCATTTGAAAAAAAAAAAACATCCTTATATTTTACCTTGAAAATTCAAGTATTGTTGCTCTACATTGTAGAGGTCAAAAGCTTGCGAGATATAAGCTAAAGATAAGGAAACATATGCATTAAGTAATTGTATTTTCGGCTTCATGTTTTGTTTTACTTAAAATTAAGACTTTCTTGTCCTAAAATATGTAAATGTTTTAATATATATATATATATATATATATATATATATATATATATATATATATATATATATGTGTGTGTGTGTGTGTGTGTGTTTAAATGAGAACATTTCATAAATTGAGAACAAATATGAGCCACCAGTTGAAAATTTTGAATGTATTGTTTTAATTAATCGACAAATAAGTCCCATCCCACTACACCCCACCCATTACCACTTTACTAATATTAAATATGATGTCTTTCGACCTAATTAGAAGCTTGACCATCATCGGAGTCGCTGGACCACAGCTGGAGTTGATGTACCATCGGCGAAGTCGCCGGAGAAACGTCGGTGTCGTTGGATGCATCCAACCATTTCCTTTTCTCTTTCACCCAATCTAGTTGTTCGCCACGTCCCAGTCATTAACATAAAAAAAGTTTCTAGTGTGTCCTGGTTTTCTTGTCCGACTAAAATGCTTCCTGGTAATACTTTCGATGCTTTTGATTATATAATTGGAATAATAGAGGAAATCAATGTTATCATAGGAACTGATGTGGTATACATATCCTGGATCCATGACTTTTTTGTGGGCGAATCTGTCCAGCCCCAAAATACCCCATTATGGATGAGTTTTTCCGTTGGGTTCATCTATCATCATTTCCCCACCGTTTTCTAATGTGTAAGTTACTGTTATCAATGATAATTACAATTAAGCTCCATGTTGGATAGACATACCTGAAGGTGTATCCGAATCCCTCAAACCAAGACTCTAATACCAACTTGTAAATCCGTAAATTTTCAAACAAAATTTTCGATTTTAAATTACCAACATCACATATAATAATTCTCAAAATCTCAAGTATCGATGTCATAACATATTTCAAAATAGTTTTCAAAAGTAATTATCAAAATCTAGGTTCCTCATTCATGACTCTTTTCTCTTGTGTGTACAATTGAGCCGCTGCCTTCCCGCGATCCTAATAAGAACCTGAAACACATAACACATAACACGGTAAGCACGAAGCTCAGTGAGCTCCCCAACATACCACATACACATATTAGCCACTTGAGGCTATAACTCCGTAGGACCCTCCGATCCAATGTGTCTTAGTGGGACCCTCCAGTCCCATGGCTTGTTGGAACCTCTGGTCTGGTCTGGGTGAGAACCCTCCGGTTTCAATACTCGTTGGACCCTTTAGTTCGGTCTAAGTGAGGACCCTCCAGTCTCATAGTTTGTTGGACCCTCTGGTCCGGTCATAATATAGAACAGTTCGTTGGACCCTCCAGTCCGGTCTAAATATCACATAATATAGCAGACAACACATATTACACATAAAATGCATAACTCAGGCAAGCACATAAGACCCTCTCGTCACACATAATTACCACTCTAGGTAGAGTATAGTGAGAAGACTCACCTCAGGTAAACTCGGATGATTTCGAACTCGAAACACTGATCTTGCCTATGCCTAATCACATACAGAAATTAACTCTAATTAATAATGGCTTTCAAAGGCTAGAGTATTCCCTTCCTATGCTCTCTCAGAAGGGTAAGAGACCATTTTACCCCTCCAATGGTCCAAAAGCCCACTTTTTGACCAAACCTTGATAGTCAACGAAAGTCAACCCTAGGGAGTACACAGTCCGTAACAACTCTATATGTTAGGCGTACACGAATGCTATACAGAATTGGGGATGCTTGACCCCTACACTGCGCGTACTGGGATTACGCCCAGCGTACGCCCTAGTTTCACATTCTTCATGATTTTGTTCTTAATCAATTAAGACATAAGCTCATATCCCAGATCTGGTCACTCTAATGCCTCTTAATCCATAAAGTCGGTGACTTTAAGCCTTTGCATGGCTGTAAAGGTCACTATCACCCAAAACACACGACTTCCTTCCTTAAAGAGCTGATATCTCATGCATGGCTCACTCTTAACGTCCAAGATTGTATTTTTATGGATGCATATCACAATATACACTGCAAAAGGGGCAGATCAAGGTCTATGGAGCTCCTTTACTCATAAAGTCTCCACCTTTGGGACTAAAACCCTAAAATGGTCTATCATGCACAAATCAAAAAGGTTGAGAAAGCTTTGAGCATTTTACCTCCAACTGATGCTCCAACCTCAGAAAATCTCAGATCTAAGGCTTGCATTCTTACTCTAGCTTCTTCAAGGCACCTTCTTCTCTTCAAAAGCACACAAGAACACTTTCAAGTCCAACCACACACACATACACAACCTCTAGAACAAGGGTTAGGGCACTCTTAGGGTTTTGCTCTCTAGAAATGGTGGTTAAAAGTGAGGCCATAATGTTCCTTATATAGGGCTCACCCCTACAATTAGGGTTTCAATATGAACCTAGTTAGCCCAGCATACACTATGGTATGCCCAATATACTGGGTAGCCTCCGCGTCAAGAACACAGTCATGAGTACGCGCATCGTACTCTCCACTACGCCCAACGTACTCAAATGCCCTACATTCTTTTCAAGGACTAATTTTGAAAACTTGAGGAAAGAAAAGGATCAAAGAGCTATAGCTGAATTCTAGGATGTTACACATAGTCCAAAGATCAGTCTATAAATAGGTGCAAGGATCACCCCATTTCTTCACACTTTCCCATTTTTTCTCTCTCAAACATCCTTCTTAGTCCCTCCCATTCCCTAGTACTTCCCAAGTTCTAGAGGTGAGTCCCAGAGTGCCAAAAGGCTGCGAGAAGAAGAACTTTTGGCTCAGAAGTCCTACCCCCTTAGAGATTGAGTCCTATCTAAACCCCCTTGTAAGTGAGTTATGCTTACCCTACTTTAATTATAGCTTATGTTTAAGTTCACTATCATTATTATGA